GGAAGCAGGGAGCCCCTAACCCCACGTGGGGAGCCCCTAACCCCACGTGGGGATGGGCAGGCAGAGCCACGGTTCCTGGGGGCAGCCAAACCCGCGAGATCCTGCCAGAGCGACACAGGGACCCACCACCTCCCTCCCCGTCTCTCCCCTGGCAAGTGTTGCAGAGGCATCCGTGTCCTCAAGCTCCCCTCAGAGCAGGGCTTCAGCTAAATCCCTGTAACTGCCCCCAAAACAGGGTGGGCAGCCCAGGCCCCCGGGGGGGAGAGGGGCATCTACTCGCTCACACTGCAGGCTTCACGCATCCCCGGCAGGGTGAGAGGTCCTGCTCCCCAGGTGATGCAGGACACGGCATGCAAGTGGAAGGTGTGTAAAAATTTATTTTCACGTAGAGAACAAACCTAAAACGGTATGGCTTTGCCAGACCTGGAGCAGGGAGCGGGGTCAGAGCACCAGGCAGAGCCACGTGTGGTGGGCTCGGGCCCGGGGAGGGGGGAAAGGAAACACCAGGGCCGTGGCCCCGAATCCACGGGCCAGCAGCGAGCGCGATGGCAGTGGGTGTCCGAGGGGCAGAGCGGCTCCGGCACAGGCAGGATGGGGCCACCACCCTGGGGCTGCCCCTGTGAAAGATGCAAGTTGCCCAGCCACTTCTCAGCCCCCTCACCCGCTCCAGGCCACGAGAAAACGTTTAAATAGACAAAACATACAGAAAAGCAGCTCCGAGCCGTACCTCGCTGCCACCCCACCAGCTGCCTGCAAATAAACCTACCCTGAGTGTGCTTGAAAAAGCCCAAGAGCTCGTGTTTGCTGAGCCAGGAGCCAACCAGGGTTGGTCCCGGCAGGACGGGAGCCCAGGGCGGCGTGAGCTGAGCACGGGGGCCAGCACGGGCTGCCCTCGCTCTTTGGGACTCGGAGACGGGGACGCCGTGGGACTCTGACCCCGGATTTGTGCTGGACTGAAGTCAAGGCAGCTGCAGGTGCGGGCAGGGGAGGAAAGAGCTTCCAGTCGAACCAAGAGATGCAACACCCACAGCCTCCTGCTCCGGGACAGCCTCAGTGCGGGCAGGGCCCCGCGGAGGGGACAGCAGGACAAGGGCTGTATGCCAGCATGGGGCAGGGCCTGGCCCCGGCTCAGCGTCGGCACAGCCAGGAAAGGACTGCAGCCGGCCCTCGGGGGTGCCGCGGGCATCCTACGCCCTTGCAGCCCTCCTGGGGCCGGCGAACGCTGGTGGCCATGAATGCTGGTGGCCATGAATGCTGGTGGCCGGGACGGGGCAGGGAGGGGACAGGCCACGCAGCCAGGCAGGCGAAGAGGGCAGATGGGCCGAGAGCCTGGCACGCTGCAGGACTGCAAGTATTTTTGTGCAGAAACAAGAGAGAGAGGGTGCCTGGGACAGGTCCCCGGTATCGCTCCCTCCCCTTGCAGCCTGGGGCTGGGGGCCACAGCCACAGCATCCCAGCAAGGGCCAGGAGGGACCCCAAAAACACAGGGGCTTGGGGGGTGTAACCACCTGTCCTTCCACAGCTGCCTTTAATTGTGCTGGCAGAGGGAAACAGGGAGTGGGGAGGGA